CATTTTCGAAACTTAGTACCAAAAAAAAAGCTATGAGACAAGTGTAAAATATTTCTAAATTAAAAAAAATTAGGAAGTAGGAATGGGTGCACCAAAAAGTAAGGAAACATGGGCAGAACGATGAGCACACCTACTTTAAGGGTTTACCTTGTCAAAAACCACCAAGTGTTATAATGTTATTTCGTCCATTCCTACTTTGTTTCCTTACTTTTGGTGCTCCCATTCCTACTTCCTAATTTTTAGCTGCGGCATAGTGGCTCATATAATGCCCCTAAGTTTGTTTGTTCTTTTTCTGTCAAGTACGAACTTTTAGCTCAGAGCTCCGTCATCTCCTGACCGATTTGAGATCTAATCACAGTTTTGGACTCAAGAGGTCCAACCATTCTTTTTCCATTGGATCTGGGCATTAATTATAGGTTGACAACAGTGGAAGACTGTCGTAGAAGTGGCATATTACCTCAGATATTTTTAGCTGTGGCATTGTAGCTCCTAGAATGGCTCTGAGTTGTTGTTGGTTTTTCAAATACAAACTTTTAGCTCATAGCTCCATCGTTTCTTGACCAATTTGAGATCTAAGTAAGTTTTTATACTCAGGAGGTCAAACCCTTTCGATTGATGTATTTGATCACGCCTAAAGTCTCATAGATTAATCTACTCAAATCCTGCCTAAAGTGATTTAAATTTGGTTGAGATCCTGATGAGTAATAAAATCAAATCAGGTATAGGCGTGCCACATGCCTGCTATTGCTGGCTCACAAAAATATAGCTAATAAAGAAGGAAAAAAAGGTCTCATAGATTAATTTACTCTAATTCTGCTTAAAAGAATTTCAAGTGCCGTGGCTATTGAGGATTCATGCTTGTTTTATTTTAATTTTTTTACACTTGTCCAATAAATAAATGTCAGCACAAAAGCTGCAGTCTGTGTTCTCTAGAGCGTGTGGCATTAATGCCACAACTACTCATGATGTAGAAGTCCGTATGTCCAAAAAGGCTTATTCTTCCTCAAATAACACTTGCATCACTTCCAGTTGTACCATTTTCAATCTAGACTGTAATCCGGATATTTTACTCCTGGGATTAACACGACTCAACTAGCAAGTAAAAGGTAAAAAAATTGCAGTAAATGCCGTTGTTACACTGATATTTTCTTGGTATTATTGAAGGCTAGCTGTTTGTCGTAAGAAGAATTCACCTCATTGCGAGGCGAATCTTTAATCATCTTTACACTGACATATTCTCCAGTTGAGACTATGAACATTCAATTCAGTCTTGAAGCAGGCACCATAAGAATGTTGCATGCCACAACTGACATAAAGCAGTTGTGTGGTTGTATTATGGATGATACTCTGCACTATACTGATGTTTGGACAACTCATCATTTGTTTTGAAGCGACTCATATTATCCTAATCATACTTTGATCCACCTTAACCAATTCTCTGCAATGAACGACCGACTTTCATTAATCTGGTGACTTTCAAGATGAATTAAACATTCAAATGTTTTCTTTAAATTTTAGCTGCGTCTTATTAACATTATGAAACACTTTAAACTCTGGTTTATTTCAAAGTAACAGGTGAGTCAAGATTGCTGGAAACAGCTATACACATATACATATAATATATACTGAATATATGCAATATATGCTTTATTTCCACAACAGCGTACTCATGTGCTGTTTGAGATTATTTATATAATAGTGGTTGTAATTTGTGAATATCTCTGTTAAGGTATATTCCACTTATCTCTTAATTGACTTGTGAAATGTATTTACAACCTAACAAGTTACAGCAGAATAGAGCAATAATAATTATCTATGTAACATACTTGAAAATTACAATGTTGCCTTGGCACTCCATGACCTTCCACGTATTCTTGATATTGCGAAATTACACATAATAAGCAGTAAACCTGCAAAAATATATATCAAATGAGCAGTGCAAAATATACAAGATATCCCTTTTGATTAAACATATCAATAATCATAAATTATTTCAAGTTTTTAATAAAGTTCTTTAACTTTTCCTTTATTAGATAAGTTATTCTTGTGCTGTTATTTGAGATTATATAACATAAAATCAAACATTGCTATAATTATGATATTTTTGAACTTGAATCTGATGAAGAAACACGTTAGTATGGTGTGTCGTGAGGTTAAAACAACCTACAGGACACACTGTGTGTTATTAACAGTAGTGATAGTTTAGCAATTTCTCACTTGCTGTAGCTCAGACTGTGCAAATTCAAACTATCACATGTTTTCAGCGGATATGCTCCACTGGACCCTTACTTCACATGCTAAATTTCAAGGTAATCAATTAAGAAATACACGAGATACAAAATCTTCAATTTTGATTGACTTTCTTCCTTTTTAGCCGCGACATAGTGGCTCATAGAATGACTCTGAGTTTTTTTTTTTAAGTACAAACGTTTAGCTCATAGCTCTCTGTCATCACTTGACCGATATGATATCTAATTACAATTTTCGATCGATGAATTAGACCATGCCCAAGTTCTCATAGCTTAATTTACTCAAATCCTGCCTAAAAGAATTTCAAGTCCCGTGGCTATTGAGGATTCCCTCTTATTTCATAGAAAAAATATACTTTCATGGATTTTATTTTTCAAATTTAGCACATTGATAGACCTTTACAACTTACAATTAGATATCATATATGGTCTAAATATAAGCCACATGTGCAAAGTTATTCAACAAAATCCGTTAAGTTTCGACCAAACTTTTTGCGGCTTACTCAAAACGTCACGTTAGCTATTAGTCTGAACGTTTTACTACAGCTTCACCTAAGAGTATCGGTGGACCACTTGTATTTTTTTTTGTCATTAGGATTAAAAACGGCTGATTTAGAGCGGCAAACTATAGGGTGGGATCAGATACATAAGTTTTGGTTAGGCCAAGCAAACTAAATTAGCAGTTTCTAGCTAAAGTTTTCAAAAGAATCATATGGATGAACGGTTATTATTCATTATTCATTGCCGACTTTCAGGCACAAATTTGTTAACGTTTATGAAATATTCCTTATTAAAAGCGTTTAGCGTCACGTGATATTAGCTTAAGCAATTTGCGTGAATAGTGATGCTTGATAAGGATATAGCGAATGCATGCTGCTGATGGCAAGAAACTGTTAATCTAGTTTCCATGGTGTTACTATAAAGAAAGTTATTAACACTATTTTAGAGAGGAAAAACTACCACCATATAGCTTATAAAGAATCTGGATGGTTCAGTAAAATATGGGTCTGTTCCGAATAATAGGGTTGCGATCCTATAGCTAATGTTCGTCATTATCGGGTGTCAATTTCTTACTTGCTGTGGTTTGTTGGTGTGTATTGACAAAATATCATGATATCTAATCAAAAACATCTTAGGTGTGAGAAAAAGGTGTAGGAAAAAAAGGACTGAGCGTGCAACTTAAAGAATAAAATCCAAATTGTCGACCAAACTGGTAGCTACACTTATATCATTGATAATAATTTTATAGCAAATATTCATTCATTAGTTAATTTA